GCAGTTATTTATTTGTGAAAAATGTTTGGAATCATGTATGATTTTCGTTCCACTTCTCATGTGTACACCACTTTGTATTGGTCTTTCACGTGGAATTCCAATAACATTGATTCATGTTTGTGGCTGTAATGTGACAAAATGTGGAAAAGTTCAAGGGGGCGAATACTTTTGGAAGCCACTGAAAGTGATAAAGCTTCAATCACGTCGTAATCTGTTGGTGGTTGCACTCTACTTATCGTATTATTTATTTTATTGCTTTATTACTTATTCTGTTTGTAAAAAAACAAAACAAACCAAACCAAAAAAACCCAACTATTTATTTATTACTTTAAAAAAAATTAGTTTTTTGTTCATTATTTTGTTTCTTTTCGCTCCGTGACCGTGCGTACATAAGTTTGTTCCACCTCATGTTAACATGTGATGCAAATGACAAAGCTCCTGAAGTGTGGTGAGACAGAATCACTGAGAGACTTAAATCCTTCTTGCTGACAGAAACCTCATTCGTGGCTTATATCACACCCAAGATGGTTAGGTAAAGGAGGTGAGCTGAGATGCATCGTTGATCTACAACAGCCTCTTATGAAAAGACAGATTAAAAGTGGAGAAAAATTAAGACTGTTCAGTGGTGATCTTGTTAAACGTATTTTTCGTAAAGGTCCTTTTTAAATTGCCCATTAGAAAATCCAAGTGCTTAATTATGTTGTAGTCTTACCCCATTTGTGAGTCTTTCCTTTTCCCCTTTAAGAATCAAGTGTTAATGACTTGCACCATCTTGTGCTCACAAGTGGTGTTACATGAGTGTAAACGCTCATGTAACACCATCCTAACTTCAGTGGATATCTGTCAGCACAGTAGAAATGCATTGTGGACATGAAGTCATAGCATATGGTAATGCTAAAGGTTTACGATTAACTAATCTCAGGTTTAGCTTTATTACATTAAAAGGTTGTCAAATCTCCAACATCAAATTGATTCTGTTGCTTCCCATAAAAAAGAAAAGAAAAAAAGACTTGACAATCATGCTTTCAATTATGATTGCAAACCGAGAATGGTAACGGCACACACATAAATGGATCAAGTCCACAGTTTTACACCCCAAAGTGACTTCATAATAATATGCACACTGTTAAATATATTCACATAGCCTGCACCAGTGAGCAAGGAAAGGCAAACTTATACATACAGAGAGTAAACTATGAAAAGCACACAAGTCATTTATGTATGATTTAGAATACAAACATGAAGAGAGGAAAAAGTTATTTACCTGCTGTAATCTATTCTTTAGCACCGGTCACATTTCCCAGATCCACTGACACAGAACCAGGAACATCTTTTGTTTTTTTAAACAAAGTGAAGCACGTGATTATGTACAGAATTGCAACACATACCCCTTTAAAATTGACAGGGCACACAAAGACGCAAAAAAGCAATCTAAAGAGAAGGGTCTCACCCACACCAAACAGGTGACAACAGTACACACACACACACACACACACACACACACACACAGGGTGGGGCTTAAAATGTTAATGCAGCATACCAATTATTGTTTGTGCATCATTTACAAAAATTTGAACATCATTGTTCACTGCATATTAATATTTAATCTCTAATTTAAAAAAGTTAAAGAATCTGTTTAACTAATTTTCAAATTTTAATTTAAATTATTACAATTTAATAGATATTGTTTATAGTAACTTGAAACAATTTTCACTAAAGCTGAACTTTGACATTCAGTCATGTATTTAATTCCATGTTTGAATTAATCTCTGTTTCTCTTCCACAGCATCTTTTATCCGGTCTTCCTTCTCTCGCCCCAACCAGCCGCGGCAGATGGCCCCGCCCCTCCCTGAGCTTATTTCTGCTGGAGGTTTCTTCCTGTTAAAAGAGAGTTTTTCCTTCCCACTGTCGCCAGAGTGCTGCTCATAGGGGGTCATATGATTGTTGGGTTTTTCTCTGTATGTATTATTGTAGGGTCTACCTTACAATATAAAGCGCCTTGAGGCGGCTGTTGTTGTGATTTGTATAAATGTATAAAACACAGCTCAAACACTGAGTCACTTAGAATATCCTTGTTTTTGAAAGAAAACTCTTTTCTCTTGCAAATGTAGAATTAGAAATATTTCAACAATAAATGATTACCCAGTCTTTAATATTTACAAAAGTCCTTTTCTAGTAGGCTTAATTCCTTTGGTCCAATGACACGAATCACCAACTGCAATCTTTCTTTAAAGAAAATTTCAATTTTTGTCCATAATCTACAATAAAAGCCAATTTATGAATCTACGTTTTTCTGAGCTATACCAGTTCACAAAGTACTCCAGATTCCTGAATCTCTCTCTCTCTTTTTTTTTTTGTCCAAGTGAAAATGAACTGCAGTCAGCTAAATAGCAGAGCGTTACTACGCTCTCTTCTGCTTCTTTGTGTATTTCAAACAATGTTGATGGAGCTGAGATCATTTTGGAACTTGAAACAAATTAAAAACATAAAAAAAAAAATAAAATAAAAAGCTGTTATAAAGGAAATGACTGCAAATGATATACTGCCAAATTAGCATTATGAGGAAACCGATATTGGAGCCAGTACACACTTTACTTTAGAAAAATCATTTTTTCACTATTGTATTTATAGAGCAAAGTGCTGCATTATAAACTTGACCTGCATTAAATTGGGCTTTACAAGAATACAAAGACACAGCAGGATGAATTGAAGTCTATAGCTCGATCTGCACTTAACATGTCTTCAAGTGGTGGCTTCATTAAACGGTTCCCACAATACAATACTTTCGAAATAAAGAGTGAACAGGCAACTCCACAATGATGGGTGGTAACATATATTGGAAAGAAAAAAAAAACAACAACTTCTGAGCCAAAATGTTAAAAGAACAAGAAAAGTAAAGAAACAAAGACACTGGGCAAAAACGGGGGGGGGGAATTGGATGACAATTAATGACGAAACAAAAAGATGCTGGACAAGAGGCTTGACACCCTTTCAGGTATAGTGGAAGAGGTTTGGAGGGGGCTCTGCTAATGGAAAGAGAGATTTGGGTGTTTTATTGCCACACCGTGTGGATACTGCTTGATGAGGCACACTTCCCTTCAACAGGAAGATGACCTTCACTATGCAAAAACTATCTGGAAAAGAAGCAACAGCACTGTTCAACATAATTTGTGCTCATGGATAAGTAGATCCACTGTAATTTTATTAAAAGCAGTACACATTACTCATGATAGAGTCTTAACTACACAGTAAGTGAAAGGAGTGCTTTAAAAAAAGAAACTTTTTGATTAAAAGGAAACAAGTTCCTACAAATGTTTTATTTCTCTTCACCATCAAATACAGGATGATTTAAGCTGCTGAAACATTCACTCTCCATTAGTCTGAACAGCTCCTCAAAAATTGTAAGAATGTACAAAGGAAACACCACGATCAAAACACAAAGGAAAAAAAAAGTATTATAAGGACATAAAAATTTACCTTCCTAGCAATTTACCTTTGCTGGATATTTATCATTATAGCACTGACAGGTAGCCACAAAAACCAATACTGACTATAGGTCAATGTGAAAATTAAGAGAACATGCTAGCACGTGTTCTTTAATGGTTTGTAGGTTGGAAAATGTCAGAAAAAGCAAGTACAACCGACAGTCACATGGAGATACACTGCATGGACAGAAGTACAGGGTTAAACGCTGGCAACAAGGCAGCCTGTGAAAGATCTTGCCTCTGATATATCACCACAATGATACGTGGTATTATTGCAAAGAGGAAGCGTTTAGCAGGTCCCCAACCTTTATTGGGCCACGGACCGGTTTATGTCCGACAATATTTTCACGGACCGGCCTTTAAGGTGTCATGGAAAAATACAACAAAATAAAACCAGTACCGGTGTACCAAAAAAAGATTTGTTCATAACACACGGGAAAAGATCCAGGGAAACAGAGTTAACGATAAAAAAGAAAATAGCACTAAAAACCAATAAAAACCCTGAAGACCATAAATTTCACACCCGGTCTGTGGCCCGGGGTTTGGGGACCACTGATTTAGCAAAAACTGCAACTTAGCAACAGTTTCTTTTTGGAGCGGGGTCACTGGCTGCATGGATACAAAGTGTGGAATATTTGCTGACAACCAAGTTCCAGACCTCCTCTACCATTAACATCAGCACAAAAACTGTAAGCCAGGAGTTTCATGGCATGTAGTCCCATGGCTGAGCAGCTCCTGTAGATGTACTTTTGTCTAAATACTGTACTTCAATATTTGACTCAAATCTAAAGTAACAAGTCTAAGTTTCAGTTTGCTATGCCAAATTATAAATATTTCAAAAGGTTACCACTTGTTAATCTTGATAACCCAGTCTTGGAGAGATATTCAAAATCCCATGCTGGTAAAGCTCGTCAGCTTGTTACAATGAACATAGCAGAACACGTAACAGGAGCTGAAAGCAGTTCCTAACATCTCGAGACAAACATTTTTACCGGGTGTCTGACATAACTGGAAGGGTGCGGTGGGGGACCCAACAATATATCAATATAATAATATATCGCTTCCCATACCAATGTCTTGATTTGGTGCTGTAAGGTAAATGTGTAGTGAAGAAACAGAAATGTGATGCATCATAACTGTCTTGTAATGAATAAAAACAAACCAAAAATAATAATCACTGCTGAATCACTGCATCATTCAACTGTTTTTGTAGGTGAAACATCACCATAGCATACTATAGTACATACTGTACAGTTCCTACCCATAGTTATCATCGTTTACTCATTGTGCCTGCATACAGGTCAGCACACACTGAGGACGGCAACATGTTATCATACATTCTTGTGTTCACTTAATATTTGTTATTTAAAACTGTAACATTTGTTTTAAAACGTCTTGAGGCATTCTCAATCATCCAGGGAAGTAAATCTCCAAAACGTTGATTCTGTTTATCTGGACGTAGCGTTTTGTGGGAGAAACGTTTCATCACTCATCCAAGTGACTCAGTCTCAGCTGACTGCAGGTTTCCCCAATCTTATAAACAGTACATCTGCATAATGACTGAAACCAGCCCACTGAAGGAACAATGGGTTGGGAGGTCAGGAACAGACCACTGTTCCTTCAGTGGATGCAGATGTGCTGTTTCTCGTAGTGTTTCTCCCACAAAACGCTACGTCCAGATGAACAGAATCAACTTTTTGGAGATGTAACATTTGTTGGTACTGACTGTCAAATTGCAGGAATAACACCACTATTTTTTTGAGAACTTTGACTTTGTGTTTTTGTAACCTTATTTTAAAATTCCCTTAAACCAACTTAAAAGTTTATCTCACACAATAGAAGTCATTACGACTGCAAACCTGCCTACCCTTAAAAGCATCCTTTAAAATGCTATGGAACTATGGATCCACAATGAAAACCCCCCGCTTCATTCGGACCACAGAGGGAAGAATCATATTCTACAAAAAAGTAAACACTGAGGACAAGTTTAAATAAAAAGCATGTTCTGTAATTTTATCAATTACAAAATAAATGCCCAGGAAAGGTAGCGGGCTTGTAAACTGTAAAAACAATAATTAGGGCTCATTAACACAGATCCATGAATACCAAGAGAGGTTAGTATCTACGACGCTTGTTATTTGGTCCATCAAAGACTCCCCCCACAGGACTGCCCCTCCCAAATCCTGGAGCTGGTCCAGCCTGGGGGCCCAGTGGTGCTGGCTGCTGCGGCTGCTGCTGCTTTGGAGAGCCAGCATCGGGTCGCCCCACCATGGGTCCGCCTTGTGGGTATCTATCATTTCGCTGTGTTATCATGACGTTGGTGTTGTAGAAATGGTGGGAACATTGAAGGATTGATATAAAAGTTGTGTTGCAAGTATGAGAGAATTTTCCCCCCACAAAGACATGAACAGAGGCCAGAAGAGCAATGATGCAAGGAGCAGGATTTTCAAGAATGGGTTCAGTCAGTGTTTAGTTTGATCCAAGTGTCATCATCCAACAGTAAACGGGAGAGAAATAAACCACGTAGACAAAGGGAGAGAGAGGAATGAAACTGTTAGTTAGGTTTCCAGTTTTAACAAAGCTCGTAAAATCTTAATTTTTCCCAGTATAATGTTTTTAAGGCTTGGCTGATGTTCAATTACTTTTTAAAATCATTTTTAGAAATTTCTTGGAAGCCAAATGAAACTTTTCTTCTGGAAAAACATTTCTTTATTTCTCTATATACATTACCATGGCTCCATTCTCTGACATCAATGGTGTCCCCATTTTTGCTGTTCCCTCTGGGCCAGTGGGTCCTCCCCTTCCACTCATGCCCATCATTTGACCTTGGTTACCACTGGGCCCCGCAGAGGCCTGGTTATAGCCATCTACACGCAAAACAACGGAGCATTGGTTGGTCTTTTGGTAGTTTAGTGTAATTAATGTAAATCAACGGTAGCTTAAAGACAGAGCTATTGTTAATATTTTAAAAGTTAACATTGGTTTTTGGTCAAAAGGTAAAAGATCCTGGAGTCTACGAGATGTACTCGAGCAACAAAAAGGGAATTACTATTTTGAGAAATTTCATAGGAATCCATCCAAATCTTCATCAGCATCACAGTTAAAACCAGGATGTCAACCTCAGAGTGACATAAACAAGATAAAGCCAAAGTCACCAGAATAATGAGGATACATCACCCAAATGTTTTTGCAGAATTTCATGGCAATTCAACAATGAACCAACTAAATGACCGACAAGACCATAATACTTGAGATAAAATAAATAAATATATTTTACAACCAAAAACCAACGTTAAGTTAAAATAGTGGACAAGGACTATGTTCCGACAGAATTATAAAGGCTGCCTCATGGTAAGTAAAAGACAGAAAATAAATAAATAAAAATAACACCAACTCCTAAAGTCCATAGATTTCTAATAACCCCTGGATTGCACATCACCATAATCACAATAAATACAGAGCTGGAGAAGCTAGATAGTAATAGTCAACTACCCCCCCCCAAAAAAAGACTTCTACAAACATGTGATTCATTATTTAACCCCCACCTCAAAAGACTGTACATTTCTGGAGCTAATAATCAACTTGACTTGAAAATTACTCTCAATTCAGAATCAATGATCAACATAATCCTATTTACTGAATTAGGCCAATATTTCTTTTACATGATAAAAGATGTGAGCAAAAAATAAAGAAAATCATTCTTTAAGAAAATCAATCATACTTCTAAATTATAGGAGATAGAAAGAGCATTGTACACAAGTTTTCAAGCATTTTGAATGAGGATTAATCACCATTTGAAAACTGACTATTATCAGAATACAAATAAATAAACAAATAAAACGCATACTACATATTTTACTTTGCATTCAGGTATAATCAACATGACTAGATCAGCGAAGGCAGTTTAACTAACACAAACATCTACATATCCCCCATCAATAGTTTCAGAGCAACATCATAATTCTGCCAGACTCTTATTTACAAACAATGCCATACATTCAGTGTATTCATATATTATTTCATTTACTGGTTAAAGTAGCATACTCAGAAAAGAACTTTATGGAGTTGTCACTGGGACAGGCGAAAGTGATATCAAAGAAAACAAATTAAAGTTGTTCAAAGTGTATCTAACACCATTTATATATTAAAACAAATGACATGTGTTAAAGAAGCAGTGTGCAGGACTTGGTAGAGATCAGGTAGCAGACTGGAACCAACTACAGTATTTGTACTTCACTCTGTACATATATATTAGAAACATAGAGCTCAGTGTTTGGGTATTATTGGACACTGCAGAAAAATGACACTATGACAGGCCTAGTGAAAGTGGATCTGTTGTTTCCATGTACAAAAGAAGCGTTTCTTCTAAGCTAACAAAAATATACGAAATTACATGGGTTTCTACACTAATGAAAACACGATTAAGGATACTATTCAATTTCCTCTTACTTACATAGTAGTAACTTTAATTGTGAGATTTTGGAGATGCTACACATCTACCTTAACAGTTCCCCAATTTTTCCATCTTGTTGCATTAAAATGTTTTCTGTGACAGCTTGCACACTGTTTTAGCATTAGCTAAACCTTGATGGAACATAAAAGACTGTCATACATAGGGATGGGTACCGGTGTCCGGTGCCATGATGGCACCGGTTCTGACATAAACGGTAGTAACCAGACCGAAAAGCAGTGCACATTTCGGTGCTTTATTTCGGTGCTTTTTTTCCCTGAGCTGTGATACACTTCTAGCCAATCATTTTACGTTTCCGAGGATAGTAGGCGGGTCCAGGTACGTATGTTTTTTTTAGAGCAGAGCTACAGATTAAAAATGCCCAAGGCGAAGCGGTCAAAAGCCTGGCTGTACTTCACAGCAAAATATGCAAACTCAGCAGCTTGCAACAAGTGCTTTAAGCTGATACTGTGATACTGTCAAAGGAGGTAACACCAAGAATCCGATTAAACACCTGGCGACGCATAGCGTTTCTTTTTAAAAGCCCAGAAATGCGCCGTATTTGATAGCTTGCTGCGAGACCTCACACCGAGCGCATCTACTGCGGGTGGGTTGCCTGTTATGCAACATCCCCCAAAAACACGAAGAGGAGAGTCCTGGCCCCTAGCCCTGTCAGTGTAGCAGAAAAGATAAGGATGATGGCAGCAGCAGCCGTTCTTCTCTGCGTGAGTAGCTTAATGTTGTTCGTGTGTAATTTACGTTGAGTAGGCTAACCACGTTATTACATTAATGCATGTAAGGTGAACTAGCAAACATCATCATAGCTACATGCGGCTGTCTTCTTGTTTGATGGCAGATACTCCCTTCACCCTGGCCAAAAAGGCTAAAATGACCAAAGAAAAAGAGGAAAACAGTTAAACATGAGAGGTTTTTGGATAAAGTTTGTGTTTTTTTCCATTGTTTAAGCACTGCTTCCAGCCAAGAGTGATACCATATATGCCCCATAGCTGCAGAAAAGGCTAACATTGTTATCTTTTTACAAAAAACCAGCTGAACATGAGAGGTTTTTGGACCAATTTTGTGTTCTCCATTCTTTAAGCACCGGTTTGAGCACCGTTTGAGCACCGGCACCGTTTCAAAAGTACCGGTTTGGCACCGGTATCGGATAAAACCTAAACGATACCCATCCCTAGTCATACATTATAACACTGCACTGGATGTCATGGATCTCTTACAGCAATCCACAAAGTTACCAAAGACAGATTAAGGTAGGGCAGGCAAGTTACAACTAGCTAGCTAACGAATCGTCACTTGTGTCTTGGATAATTTTTAGTTATTAAAGTAAAAAATATATATTAACCATTGCTATGTACAGTTACATAATTGATTTTTAATTAAAATCAATACTGTTTATTATTAAAGTTAATATCATTGATCACATTAGCTGATAAAGTAATTTGTAAAGCTACTCAACTAGCATTTCCACTCACACAGCAATAACGTTAGCAAGAATTGATGGTGCTATAACTTAGCTAAACTACATGAATTTGATGGTGCCAACAATGCCTGATGACCTGACATTACTTTTACAAAGAACATGAATTTAGCAGCTGATGAGCTCCAGAAGTGAAATTCATCCTGTAACAGAAATCACTCACCAACATTACCCAATACAAGGCCAACTATAAACTGAAGCCCCTGCTTGGGTCGCCCGTTTTATCTAATACATTACAACACTAATTACTCTTGCTTTTTCGAGGCACTAAAGAAGGCCGTTATGGAGCAAGCACAGACAAAACGGCTTTTATTTTTGCAGAAAAATTGCAAGCTCCATTAAGCTTCTGTTAAGCTCCATTATAGTCTGTTCACAGATTGCAGAATTATTCATGTATTCAGATGCTTCTATATTGGCAGAGTTAGAGTACCACCAGACGCTTGCCCTAAATCTACAGTGTACCAAAAGCTTTGTAATATTAAGCTTCTTTAAAAAAAACTGAGGAATACTTTGACTTTTTAAAAATAATAGAGAAAAAAAAATCATGTCAAATGTATGACACCTGCAAATCATTTTTTTAAAGCACTGTAGATAGTTACACTGAAAAGCACACATTACGAACCAGATACAGTACTCTCTTTAAATGAAGTTAGCTAGACATTTTGCTATGAGTTATTGAGTTGCTATGAGACATTTAAATGAGTTACTGCAGAATGGTTTATAAGGTGATGTGCAATCCTAGGTTATAGTCTTTATGCTAAACAGCTAACATTAAGATTAATGTGTCGAGTCTATATAATGAGAATCCACAGTCCCCAGCCCCTCATCCTGCACTCAGAAGATCACAAATTGTTGAAGACATGATTTGTATTCCCAACATGAAAGAAAAAGAATTAAGTCTGCATGTACTGCAAGGCTAAAGGCCAAGACTTGTACAACTTAAAATATCACATAAATGAATATGTTTTTAACATTTATTATCTATTATGTCAGACCCACACAGAGCTGAGGATGAAGGCTCAGAGACCCAGTAGTTCTCAAACTATCAACCCCACCACCCTAGGAGACAGTACCCATTCAGCACACTGTAAATTCTTGTTAGTATCAAGTCCATGTTATTGTGAGGAACATAGTTTATTTTTACTGCTGTGTACTGCATCCCAACTGACTCCATTTCCAACTGAAAAAGCATTAAAAACACTCCAATATATGTTAATTGCAGTGTTGGAAATAAGCCACTAGGAATGCAAGAAGAATAAACCTGAAACATGAAAACAAATCACTTGATCTGGTTTTTGTATTAACCAGTCCTTACACAATGATGCCCATACCTCCCATATTAATGGCTCCACGAGGGCCCAGCTCACCCACTCTCATTTCCTGTTCTCTCTGGAAGAAGTGAAGAGAAGCCTTCAGAATAACACTGCTAAAATACAAACGCTCAGCGGAGAGCCAACTGCAGAACACTCACACTCACAAATCATTACATTTCCACACAATGGCAGACAAGCAATCTCACACTTGGATGAATAGCAGTTGTAGTAAAGCTAGAATTTAGTGTTAGCTTTAGTGCTTCTTTGACTCTATTCAAACAAGGACAAATTACTTTTGTAAAAATATGTATCAAATAAAACTGTTAATATCTGACACACCAAGTTGGCAAATTTCATAAAGCACGTTCTTCATATGTGAATCCAAGGACGGCATGGTGACTGCAACAATACTGTAAGGGAGCCTTCATTTGTAGTAATTTATCAAGTTACAGAATGTCAAGGATGGAGAACAAAGTAAATAGAGTCCATTTTGCCTCTCTCTCGACCAATAACAACAGTTTTTGCAATACAGACCCGCGTCAGTATAAAAATGAAAGCACTTGGACATATCTGAGTACAGCATGTACAAGTGCATTTCTCCTTTAAATAATTAAAAATATTATATATAAATACAATATAACTGGTTTGTAATTTTTGTAAATCCAAAAATGTTGTTCTGAAGTTCTTTCCTTGTTTTTTTTTTTGTTTTTGTTTTTTACATAAACATATCATATAACAACTAGTGTTGTAATTTTTGGTTTGCATTGGAAGCTAAGCACAAAACGCACACAGTCACCATATTTACCCAAAGTCAAAAATCTATGTACATGTACATTAATGGTAGCAGACAGGCGAGGATTTGGTGATACCCGCTTAAAAGGTCATTTTGGTGTGTCCGACCCCATGGTCACGCTCGCTTTTCCACACGCACACAACACCCCTACTAAGACATTTCATTTACACACACACACACACACACACACACACACACACACACACACACACACCCCTACTAAGACATTTCATTTACACACACACACACACACACACACACACACACACACACACACACAATCCTGCAGACACAAAAAGTAATTAAGATTCAAAACAGACCAAATCTAGTATGAGAAAACATAAAAAAAAAATAATGTACTATTTTAATATAAAGTAAAACTTGTATGAGTAGGTCGATATGCACATTTCCACAATTAAATCACAATCTATACAACAGACTTTCATAATACAGTTCAACAACAATCATGAATGTGGCCTACATCAAAGATATCATTGGAGAAGGTGGGAGAGGAAACAAGTTACTGGAAATACTGTGATTCTAAACTTCTGTACCATTTACTGTACTTACCTTTTAAATGGTCACTATGAAAAACTGACTGACACTAGAAAACTGACTAAAATTGCACTAAAGTATCTATCAAACAGTGATTATTTTACTGCTACTTTAAACTCTAGAGAGCAACAAATGCAAGATTTAGATTCTTGGGAGACAATAAAACCTACAACATTGTACTACAACCTACACCTAAGTACTACAAATTACAAGGACATGAGCAAGTTTAAAAAAATATTTTACTCATCATTGCAAGATATTACTATTATGTGGATATATACTATATCCACATTAAGTGGCAAATGTCCTGACAAACAAAACATGAAACCCTCTTAGTTGTCTGGTTAATACAAAGTGGTTTCTAATTGCTCTTTCTCAGGTATTCTACTACAAAAATATTCATGTTCATTGACACTTCCATTTTTTGTACTGTATTTTTTGATTACTACTCTGACTAAAAGTCATAAGAGACAGATGGCAGACATTGGTAGGTCTAAGTACATTTGTTCAGCATCCATTTGCTATGTGAAAGTAAAGAGACGCCAACAGGACCTTTAAACACAGCAAAGGACACGAAGAGAAAAGTTATAACAGAAATCAATAAAATGCAGTATCATACGAACAGCTACACACCTACATGACAGCATAGTCAGATCATTACAAATAGTCACTGCTGTTAACACTAAATGTTGCTTTTTACCAGCTGATCATATACAGAGCCCTCAGCATGTTTAAAAACGAGATATTTATAGACTCTGTAAAGATATTTTCAAAGTTAAGCCCTACATGTTACACTTTAATAAGATAGAACAGGTTGGGGTGGATGTCACATGTTTTATTACATAACTAATATTTTCTTTTTAAATCGTAGCAAAAATGTCTATGTAGCAAAAACTCTATTCACACAACCTGTATTGAGATCATGAGAACTTAATTTAGAAACTGGCAGTGCAACAGAGCTACACTATTTGACTTCAGATTTTGTTTAGTGCATGTGCATCCTGCTAACTGAAACGAAACTAAGGCACATCCTTACAAAAAGGTGGATTGCCACATAAGACTGTTGAGCACTAAGACATTAATAGCTTAATTACCTAAAACAACACTTCTGCAAAAATACTGCTAATACTTAATTTTTATTTTGCATAAAAGCTTTTTGTAGTTCTTTAAGAAAATAAAAAATTAAATAGACCCCTTTTAAAAGATAAAAAATAAATCAGCTTAAAGTTTTGAAAACATTGTCATGATCTTCTGAGCTCAGCATCTGAACTACACAAAGTCTGAGACGGATGTAGTTTCTATGAGGGTCCTAACTACGACCAGTCTTGCAGTCATATTTTCTTCCTTCATTACAATTTTATTTATTTAAATAAATAACTAAATAAGAACAATCAAAAAACGCCAAGAGTCGATTAACAATCCTCACAATAGTGGAGCAGTTATAGCTGCATATACATTTGGGATGTGTTTGTTAAAGATAACACGTTTAAATAACAACACATCTAAACCCAGTTTCTTAAACCATGCTGGTGGTTTACAGCGTAATGTGTGATTAGAGATTTAATGATGCATTGGACAGATTAGGCTATGTTATTCCATACTGTTAGCAGACACATAAATGTGGCACAGCCAATTAATTTTTGCTTTATGAGGAAAAAGAAAAAAAGAAAGAAAGAAACAAATTAACACCAACATGCTGAACATGTATCACTGACTATGTTACGACAACAAATAAGGCTTACTGTAAATCCTTAATTATTTAACTTAGGAATAAATATACATAAACTACATATACATTAATATGGTATTAAAAAAAATATTGTAGGTCACCATTTATTGAGTACTAACTACGAACAAACAGTTTTCTCTATACATATTTACATCGTTGAAATGCCTAATAAGCATTTCAGGAACTATGTGAATTCTACATCAATCACAATAATCATGCATTTTGAACCCCCACTGACAACTCTGAGTATTCAATGGCTCTGACTGCAACTAATAAAGCATTACAAGCTTTCATAAACAGGAGATGAAGTCAAATAAAGCTTGAAGTAGAGCTGGGCGATAGAACGATAACGATATGTATCGCGATATAACTTTTTCTCGATAGAAAAATTAAACTATTGCGATAGACCTCGCCGCTCTTGTCCTCTTAAAAAAAAAAGAAAAAAAGAACAGCCAATCCAAATTAAGTAGCGCAGAGCCGAACCAATCACAGCCGCAGCGTCACGTCACGTGACTTGTTACGTACAGCACAAGTGCCAAGCCGCACATGTGTATTTGTTTGGGAAGCAGCCAGCCACCGTACCGCCCGGGTAATGGAGGAAATGAGTGTGCTGACTAGAAAAATCAACCGAGCGTGACCGAAGAGAAAACAGATGATGGTTCCAATGCCGGAGAGATTGTCGAACGGAAGAGCCATAGAAGTTCCGTAGTGTGAAGGTATTTCGGCTATTTCAAGTCTGACAAAAAACAGAGTAGCGTGCACTGTAAATTGTGCCGAAAGCAAGTCTGGAAATACAATAAACTGGTGCATGCGCTACGTCCACACGTACCCGGGTATTTTTGAAAACGCAGATTTTTCTCTCCGTTTGCGCCTTTCGTCCACACGTAAACGGCGTTTTTGGTCACTGAAAACGAAGATTTTTAAAAACTCCAGCCAGGGTGGATATTTTTCAAAACTCCGTTTTTGCATTTACGTGTGGACTAGAAAAACGGAGAAAACGCAGCGTCAAAGGTGTGCGCATTTTTTGACGTCACACTGTGCGCCACGTTATTGTTTCGGTGAAATGAATTTCTACAATACTGTTACTGTTAATTCTACTCTCTGCAGTGTTTAAATGCTTACATATACACACAGTTACTGTCCCTCCACACATACGACTGGGTTCTGCTTCTACGCCCCAGCTTTGTTTACTTTTTCCCACCGAGGCTTCTAGACTTCTGATTGGCCAACATTTCTGCACGGTTAGGAATCTAGCGCCACCTGCTGCTTTGGCATGTTCATAGCAGCGTTTCCCTTCATTTCTGCCTTTATGTGTGGACGGGATTATTTTTTAAAACGGAAACGGAAAATCTCAGTTTTCAAAAATACCCGTGTACGTGTGGACGTAGCCTCAGTCTCTGACTGGAAGCACTAATTCGTCATTCGGCTTTTGTCAGACTAAAGTAACTGTTAAAACTGTTTGAAAAGCTCAGCTATACAAGGAGAGATTGAGAATTTCCTTTTAGTTCTCAGTTTATTTGATATTGACAAAAGTTAGTCAGTTTTGTCTGTTCTTCTGTAAAACAAACTAAGATTTATTTTTAGAATTAATATTTTGTTTCTAAATGGAATTGACAATTTAGTCTGTTTCGTTTGTTCTATTTTGAAACTTAAACGCTTTAGCGGCTGCCTTTTGTGTAGTTTGCAATATTTGCCTTTATTTATCTGAAAAAGTCTCATGTTCCTTAAGTACATCTACCCTGTTGACTTATGGGAAATAAATATTTAAATCAAAACAAGCTGCTGATTATTTCACATTTTACTTGTGAGCAACTGCACTTTTAAATCTTACAAATATAGTCATTTGGCTTATATCGTGATATATATCGTTATTGCCTGAAATGAAAAAAACATTTCGTGATATGAAAAAATCTCATATCGCCCAGCTCTAGCTTGAAGTCAAATAAAGCTTGTAGAAAAACTACAAAAAAAAATATAGTGAGTCAGATTCTTGTCAGTTGAAGTGACGCAAAATGAATCCAAACAGGAAAAACATGTTCTGCTCAGCAAAGACCACAGGCTGTATATAAAATATAAACACAGCCACCGGGTCAGGGAAGTGAAGCTAATCTTGACGTTCCCTCACTATCACTGAGGGCTGCTACATGTTAGCTATTTGTATTAACTTGTTAGTCGTATAAACTGGGTACAAAGTTAATATACCAGTGAACTCCAGTCACAGAAATGTTTTGAATCATGAAATTTCATCAGTGTCGTCATTTGTTAGAAAATTTGTGTTTTCTGCTTATTTTTGCATAAGTTGGCTTATTTTACAGTTACAGAACGAAAGATTCCAACTTACAGTTTTGGCAAATAGAAGAATTTGAATGCTATTTATATATCTACAATGCACACAATAGTGTTGGTATGACCAAGTGCTGTGACCAGAGAAAGGGAAACAGTTATCATTCCTAATAATATCACTTATTAAAGTTAGCAAGCTAGCCTGTGATACCTGACCTTTAAGTGGTGTAACTTCTTGTTCCAAATAACCACTTCGGTAACAGCCACATGCCAAGCTCGCAGTTTCCAAAAAATAATATTTCTTTCACTAGTTTGACAAAAGAGCATGCAGCACTTTTCCTACTAATCAAATTTGCTGTCAAACTAGATTTCTACACAAGTCTGACTATAAAAGAAATGTCAGTTCTGGGGATGTTTCTATAAGGATAGCGACCTGAAGCACAAACTAAACCCAACATTTGTGCATGTGGTCTGACATACTCACACTACTTCTGCTCTTAGAAGCCAAAAATGATAACTTCAACCAACCCAGCGTGTTAAAATTATGGGTTATTTTGGAACTGATGTATGAAGTACAGGATACATCGTCATATTAAAACTACTTCCTCAAGAAAGGAATAAAAGTGATTGCAACAGATAAGACACACTACTAGTAACAAAGTCCAACAACTGAAGGTTATGAAGTAAGATGTAAAGGTACAGCTCTGTATTGATGGCTATACAGGGTGTATCACACTACTTAGGTAGTTTCATCAAAGTCAATAAGTCAATCTCTTTATATTCCTACATTTAGACCTTTGAAAATGAACTATAAAACAAAACAAAATCTATGGTGCGATGTGACATGCATAAATATACAGGTTGTGTATGTAAGTATTAAGTAAGAAAGTATTAAAAAAAACACCAGCCTTTAGGTTACATTACTGGCAGATGCTATTAATTTTAGGTGGCTGTGTACCCTCACATCAGTATAGAAAGTAACCAGGCAGGTGGATGTATGTGCTCCATCTGTACTCACGTTTTCCATGTAGTTTGGTTTGAAGCCATCTGGTTGGCGTCTCAGGTCCTCCTGCTCTCTGTGCCTCATCAGCTCCTCCTCCCTCCTCCTCCTCTCCTCCTCGTGCCTACAAAGCAAAGAGTGAACAATGTGTGAACAATTGCAGATCGATTAACACAAACCTCAATGAGCTTTAAAAGAAAGCATCTTATCGTCAGATTGATTCTAGTCCAGTAATTTTCATTTATTTTTAATATGTAAACAACCAAAATAAATGGGACAAGTGGGGTAAAAATGAACCACGACTTTTAACCTAACAGATCTGTGCCTCGAGAGAAGCAAAACAATATCATTTGGCCCTTTACAGTAAATACGAATCACATTAACCGCTTAAATAAAGAAGCACACCTCATCTCTATCTGCTTTCGTCTCTGTAGCTCTTGGTTGCGAAGCTCCTCAAGTCTCCTCAGCTCCTCCTGACGTCTCATTAGGTCTAGATCAATGACAGTAAACGTAAAAAAGTTCATCCAAGAAATGAGAGACTCACTGGAAAGGCAACTGATTGTAGGGCTACATTATATTGCATGATATTTATTTTCACCAAGTTCTGTGAAATAACAATTTTTCTTTCTTTCATTTTTTAAATCAGAGAAAACACTAACAGTATTATTAACCAGTTCATTTCGGAAAGGTCCATATACTTTTCTTCCATCTAAATATATGCGAAAAGCTGATTAGCATCTCCAAAACATTACTAGATATTATCCACATTAGCAGGCTGGTATTAAACTCCATATGTAGAAATGAGCAATAAAGGTCACAGATCACACCTTGTCTCATTAACATGAGCTGATGTTCATGCTTGGCTGACTCCAGCTCGGCCTCCAGTTTCTCTTTAGCCTCTTTAATGTTCCTGTCCACCTGGTCCCTCTGCTGTTTCTCCATCTCATCAAGAGCTTTCCAACGAGATGAGAACTCAAACTCAAACGTCCCAGGCTGAGCAAAACGTGGCTTCTGTTCTCGTTCCCTGAGGAGAAAATGCAAGTACTGTCAATAAATCCGAATTATAGCATTCCTCTGATACGGACCTTCAGTTGTCTACAACAGTATCAAAGGAAGGAAACAAATCCACTGAATTACGATGTGACTGCAAAATGACTCATTGCTTACTTATAGTACTTCGGAGTCTTTTGGAGCAGTTTTTCAGAAAGACCATCCTCATCATCAAAGTGTTCTGCAGGTTCCACAATGGCAGGACAGGGTGTTCTGAAAAAAGTGAAGAAACTGTTAATTCTAACATTAGCAGATATTATTGTATGTACAGAATGATTATTTACACAGAACTACTGTATAGTTCTGTGTAAATAATCATTCTGTACATACGAAAATTTTTTAATCCTACAACCGTTTATAACTTGCATAGTTCACATTTCTGTATAACTGTATATCTCATATTTCTGTATAGTTTTTTTTATTTCATATTTATATCCTGTTCATAGCTTGTACTCACTACAGCCTGTACATACTTATAGTTATAGAATATTCACAACATACTTCATACCGTGTACATTGTAACATACCATAATAGACCCATTTCTGTAATATACTTACATATCTATATTATTGCTAATATATATTGTAATATATATATATCACTAAAGCACTTCTGGATGGATGCAAACTGCATTTCGTTGCCCTGTACCTGTGCATGTGCATTGACAATAAAGTTGAATTCTATTCTATTCTATTCTATTCTATTGGTTAATAAAATTTGGGAGATCCGCATATATGCATTTGGCAACCTGTTTTGCCAAATGCCATGAGGACAGTTAATTTTCCACTGGACAATCTCCTCTTATTTTAAAAATTCAGTCACTTCTCACCAGCTATCCCCAGCCCTTCCTGGCCTGCATTTTTTGCACAACTGCTGGCTCACTGTCCATGCTGCTATTCGAGCATTTCTCAGTACCCTTCAGCTGCTTCTCCAGATGGACTCCAGCTCATTATCTTGGACTGCAGCTTCTTGACATCTCCTCCATGCTGTAGGGTCTGTTAGAATGTTCAGTAGGAGGAAAACTGCTTCATGTGATGCTAAGCTACTACTACTGTCACCAGCTGAAGTCCCAGGAGATTTAGTTAGGATTTCATTTGTGTGACAACTCTCACCGGAGAATGATTTGATTATATTGCTCACATATTTGTGACAAAGTGATTATGGAAATAAGTTCTGAAAGCATGTCCAATTTGTGCAGACTCATGTATCTGTACACTCAGACTTACTGTATTAATCCTATGAAACATCGCCACAGGAAGTACTGGGGATACCGATGAAGGGTGACAAAATTAATCCTAAAACCATCTTTTTCACTTCTATAATGGCAAGGACCTAATGTGGTGTTGCTGCATTTTTAAAATAAAAACAAGTTACTTTAAAGAACCGAATGTAATTACAAACTCAACACCAGAATGAACATATTCAAATGTTTTCAGCTCATTAAATAGCCTCATCCCTCTGCTCCTTACGTGGTCAGCAACAGTGCTCCCTCGGTGCAGCGCTCCAGAGCTTTACGCGCTGCTACTTTGCTTGCAAACTCCACGATGCCTCTCCCAGTGGGACGACCTCGATCATCTGTCACAGCAATAGCCCGTTCCACTGGTCCAAACTGGGAAAACGCCTGAGGATACAGCGAAGTTAGGTAACCATAAATGCATAAATCATTGTAGCAATACATGCAGATTTTACTAAGTAGTTTTCTTCTCTTGTCTACTCTACCTGTTCCAGCAGTTCATTTGTCACCACAGGCAGCAGATTGCGCACTGTGAGCGCAGAACCGTGTGTGGCAAAGCGGACTCTGATTGGTCGATTATTCAAAATAGTCCCATCCAGCTCGACTTTAGCGATCTCTGCTACAGTTCGGGTTTCCTGAAGGGATAAAGACGCATTCCCTCAACATTGCTTTCACGCAACATTGTTAAAGTGTGCCTGACATAACGTATAGGATGTAGAATTGCAAAAAAATAAATAATTTACTCTCAAATATAAGACGCTACCTTCCAATATATATTAATTAGTAATGCTACATAAAAGCTTGCTATATGTGTGTGTGTTTATTATATTTGAGGCTTCACGTTAAAACCAACAAGTAGAACTATTTTCCATACCAAACGAATGAAGCCGAAGCCCCGCTCTCTGTTGATGAACACCTCGTTGACGTTCCCATATTTAGAAAACAGGTTTTTGAACTCCTCCTCTGGAATATCCGGCGGGAGACTGCCGACAAAAAGACGGGAGCGCTGAGTGAACGTCTTTTCACCGGGCTTTCGGAAACTAGTAATGTCTAGGGTCATTTCTGTCGGGCCTTCGCCGCTTCCTTCCACAGCTCCTTCCATTTGTTCAGTAACGGGGGACTGCCTCGGCGGCGGGGCCGGGCTGTCTTTGTTCGCCGATGTCTGCTCCGCCGCCGGTGAGTCGGTTCCGCGTCTCGCCGGTTGAGGAGAATTGTTGCTTTGCATGTTAACTTGTTGCATATTTCGATTAGCCATGCTTGGAATACTTTTGCAGAAATTTGCCCAAGTTTAATTAACTGGCTGCACACCAGCAATGCCTGCAAACGCCTCCTTCTAATTTTAAAGATGGCGACGGCTGCGTGCGCAACTTTCTTCCAGTTCTCGTGAGATTTGTGGCAGACGCATCGGGTAAGCGTTACCATAGTCACTACAAGATTTGATGGTTCGTTTTAGTGTAAAGAAGTATTTACCAATTACTGTAGAAAACAGTTAGAACTGTGAGAAGAGACTTTTGCAACTGACCCTGTTACTAGTAACAGCACGTTTGAAGCTGAAGCTCCGGCGCATTCAACACACTTACGAAACGAGGCTTGGTTCGTCGGAACAGAGTCACGTGACCAATGACGTCCGAAACTTCATTGGACACGATTCAACAGAACCTTCATTCACATGGAACACGTTTTAACAAGGAAGGTTAATTAATCAAAATGATTTATTATAAACATAGACATAACGTCATTTTTTCACCCCAAAAAATACATGTTCAAAGCACCATATCAGCCCAATATCAAACAGAAGCTGTTAATTCAGCTCTGTAGAGTGGGCATCATAATAAAGCAGTTCATTTTAAGTTGGAGATTCATGCTGCTCTTCTTATTTTTGCCCACCAGATGTCACCAAAGATGACTGTGTTGAAGAGCTTCGAGTAATGAACCTTTTCTCAATACAAGCTTTAATGCTTCAGAAAGCTACATTTGGCTATCACTATTACACATGTTGTATTGTATTGTTGCTGCTGCTGCTGCTGATGTTACTCACATCATCCTCAGATACTCAGTCTGTAGAAAGTTATATATTTAAAATATATACTCTACCCATCAAAACTTTGGACACACCTTCTCATGTAATGTGTTTTCTTTATTTTTACTACTTTCTACTTTGAAGATACATACTGAAGACATCAAATATATGAAGCAAATATATGGAATTATGCAGCAAAGAAAAAAATATATATAAAAACTCTGAATTTGTCTTATATTTTAGATTCCTGAAAGTAGCCACCTTTTGCTTTGTTGATAGCACTGCAAACCCTTGGCCTTCTCTCAGTGAGCTTCATGATGTAGTCACCTGAAATGGCTTTCACTTCACAGGTGTACCTTGTACAGTGTTCATTTGTGGAATTTCTTGCTGTCTTAATGGGGTTGGGACCATCAGTTGTGTTGTGAAGCAATCAGGTTGGTACACAGCTGACAGCCCTATTTGACAACAGTTAGAATTCATATTCAATTCAATTCAGTTTGATATTATTTATACAGCGCCAAATCACAACAACAATTACCTCAAGGTGCTTTATATTGTAAGGTAGAGCCTAAAATAATACATACAGATACATACAACAATCATATTGTGGTGTGTTGGAAGCGGCTAGTTATCTCCCATCATGCCTTGGGAATATGTGTTGCTGTTTAAGATGTTTATTCGGGTTCTTTTTTCAATTATTGACTCTGCCCTGAATATTTCCCCAGCTTCTTGTATTAATAGTTCCTCAGACACCTGTGAAAGGTTTTTGAAGTTTTTTATCAATAAGATAAAACAGCTTCGATCTATGATCGCCCTACCCTCACATGACGTGTCTAAAATATTCACCTGCTCTGCTGTTTTTGATCAGTTTGAGCCTGTGTGTCTTGATCAGGTGGAGGAAGTATGTAGTGGCACAAAGACATCATCGTGTCCAAATGACATTATTCCAACACATCTTCTAAAAAAGATTTTTAAGGTTGTCAGTTCTGACATTTTAGCTATTTTTAATAGCAGCCTTAGCTCAGGTGTTGTGCCAGCCTGTTTTAAACATGCTGTTGTACAGCCTGTACTTAAAAAACCTAATCTTGACTCCTCCGTCCTCACTAACTTCAGGCCTATTTCAAAGCTCCCCTTCCTGTCGAAAATTTTGGAAAAGATTGTGTTTGTTCAGCTGCAATCTTTTCTAAATGGACACAATGTTCTTGAGAGGTTTCAGTCTGGTTTTAAAACTCTTCATAGCACAGAAACTGCACTTTTAAAAGTTCTTAATGATCTTTTATTAGCCACTGACTCAGGTGACTCAGCTGTGCTTCAGCTTTTAGATCTGACCGCTGCCTTCGATACTGTTGACCACAGCATTTTAATCTCACGGTTGGAGCATTGTGGCGTAAAGGGCACCCCATTAGAGTGGTTCAGGTCATACCTGTCTGACAGGACCTTCTCTGTGAGCTTTGGCGATTTTATCTCTTCCTCAGCTCCCCTTACTTGTGGTGTTCCCCAGGGATCTATACTGGGCCAATATTGTTCTCCATTTATATGCTGCCTTTAGGTCAAATTTTTAGAAAATACAACATTTGTTTTCATTCATATGCCGATGATACTCAGATCTATCTTCAATTGAAGGGAAACAGTCCTGCCTCACTAGAACCCTTACTTCAGTGTCTCGGTGAAGTTAAATCCTGGATGGCCTCTAATTTCCTTAACTTTAATGAGAACAAAACCGAAGTGATAATTTTTGGACCAAGCGGTAATCCCAACACTTCTAATTTTAACCTGCACAGTTTTGAGCCTTTTGTCAAATCACATGCCAAAAATTTGGGTTATTGACAGCATTTCTTTGAAACAAATTAGTCATTGTCGGTCCAAAAGGTTATAGGAGTTTTTTATTTTTACACGTACTTAAAAGATAGCATGTGAACACATTTCTCGCCTCCTACAGGTTACTTGCCTCCCTTCATTGGCTCCCTGTCCGCTTCAGAATTAATTTTAAAATTTTATTGTTGACTTACAAAGCCCTGAATGGACAGGCTCCCGGGTATTTGTCTGACCTCTTGCAGACTTATACCCCCCTTAGATCTCTTAGATCAAGTGATCTTTTGCTTTTAGCTGTACCAAGGTCGAGGCTGGTTCATAGAGGTGATCGAGCATTTGCAGTCGTAGCGCCTAAGCTGTGGAATAATTTACCCCTACACATCAGACAGGCTCCTACTGTCAATCTTTTTAAATCTTATCTTAAAACGCATTTTTATTTACTGGCTTTTAATACAGCATGAGAGTTATTTGTTATTTGTTAATTCATATTTGGTGTTTGCTTTTAATACTCTAAGTTGTTTTATTATGTATGTTGTATTCTTGTACAGCACTTTGGTCAACGCTCCTGTTGTAATTAAATGTGCTATATAAATAATTAAACTATTAAACTATTGTTTATGGTTACGTGACTCTTAACTGTTCTTGTTGATGCTGCAGTATAAATTCCCAGACAGTTATTGTTAATGTAAAGAATGTAGTGCCATGAGTGAGTTCAGGCTTGTAGTTATTGACCCTCTGAAACACAGTGTAGTAGAGGGAAGTGTACAATAAAGAGCTCTCCCTATCCTTTTGGGGTAGAACAGCAAGCTTAATGTCTGTGTAGGTGCTTTGTTGTTAAGGTTCCTCAGCTCGACACAATATGACCCCCTATGAGCAAGCACCTTGGCGACAGTGGGAAGGAAAAACTCCCTTTTAACAGGAAGAAACCTCCGGCAGAACCAGGCTCAGGGAGGGATGGGCCATCTGCTGCGACCGGTTGGGGTGAGAGAAGGAAGACAGGATAAAAGAAATGCTGTGGAAGAGAGACAGAGATTAATAACAAGTATGATTCGGTGCAGAGAGGTCTATTAATACATAGTGAGTGAGAAAGGTGACTGAAGAAGAAAAGCTCAGTGCATCATGGGGATCCTCCAGCAGCCTTTACCTATTGCAGCATAACTAAGGGAGGATTCAGGGTCACCTGGTCCAGCCCTATCTATGTGCTTTAGCAATAAGGAAAGTTTTAAGCCTAATCTTAAAAGTAGAGATAGTGTCTGTCTCCCGAATCCAAACTGGAAGCTGGTTCCACAGAAGAGGGGCCTGAAAACTGAAGGCTCGGCCTCCCATTCTACTTTTAAATACTCTAGGAACAACAAGTAGGCCTGCAGTGTGAGAGTGAAGTGCTCTAATAGGGTGATATGTACTACAAGGTCATTAACACAAGATGGGGCCTGATTATTTAAGGATTTGAATTCAATTCTGGATTTAACAGGAAGCCAATGAAGGGAAGCCAATACAGGAGAAATCTGCTCTCTCTTTCTAGTCCCTGTCAGTACTCTTGCTGCAGCATTTTGGATTAATTGAAGGCTTTTCAGGGAGTTTTTAGGACACCCTGATAATAATGAATTACAGTAGTCAAGCCTGGAAGTAATAAATGCATGCACTAGTTTTTCAGCATCACTCTGAGACAGGATATTTCTAATTTTAGAGATGTTGCGCAAATGGAAGAAAGCAGTCTACATATTAGTTATGTTTAAAATAAATTTCCATCCCATAGACTTAAATCCAGGACCCATGAAGTGCCAACTTTATCTAGTTATTATTATATCCAGCAGAGGTCACCTTTGTTAAAACTTGAACTCTTCATGCTCGTTGGTTCAGTTTCTGCAGCCTGATTAGTTAAATAAATAAAAATAAAAAAAACCAAATGCACAGTGATTTATTATATATTGTGTCACTTTTTTCTTCCTGCTTCCATTCATCACACAGTTGCTGATGAGTGTTATACATTTGCAGTCATTTTTTAAGACTTTAAAACTCTTTATGCAATCAGTCATAACACTCACATCCTTAAATCATTCATCTATATGATTATTGTCCAGCTGTGTTGTAATGTTCATCGTTGCTCTCCTGGAGTGTCTCGTCGGAACAGCAGGCTAGCATGTGATGTCATCAGCATATATATTAAATATAAATTTTTGTGCCTTGACCTGTTTTGACTGGGGAGATAGGATTGGTGTTTCAGTTCGTGGGACTTTAAGGACAAGTCTGTGATTCAAAAGTAAAAATCTAATGTGTCTTCTCTTCTAATAACCATCAGGAGTCTGAGCTGCAAGGGATAACTCTCCACATAAATGTCTTTCTCTACTTCATCCTTACCTTGACTGTCCCGTTATTGTGCTCACAACCTTAGTGAAGTTAAGTTAACTACTTCTGGATGCTTTGTGAGGG